GAGCATACTGTGTTATACACTGCAGGGTGAGCATACTGTGTTATGCACTGCAGGGTGAGCATACTGTGTTATACACTCAAGGGTGAGCATACTGTGTTATACACTGCAGGGTGAGCATACTGTGTTATGCACTGCAGGGTGAGCATACTGTGTTATACACTCAAGGGTGAGCATACTTTGTTATACACTCAAGGGTGAGCATACTGTGTTATACACTGCAGGGTGAGCATACTGTGTTATACACTGCAGGGTGGGCATACTGTGTTATACACTGCAGGGTGAGCATACTGTGTTATACACTCGAGGGTGAGCATACTGTGTTATACACTCGAGGGTGAGCAAACTGTGTTATACACTCGAGGGTGAGCATACTGTGTTATACACTCAATTGTGAGCATACTGTGTTAAACACTCGAGGATGAGCATACTGTGTTAAACACTCGAGGATGAGCATACTGTGTTATACACTGCAGGGTGAGCATACTGTGTTATACACTGCAGGGTGAGCATACTGTGTTATACACTGCAGGGTGAGCATACTGTGTTATACACTCAAGGGTGAGCATACTGTGTTATACACTCAAGGGTGAGCATACTGTGTTATACACTGCAGAGTGAGCATACTGTGTTATACACTCAAGGGTGAGCATACTGTGTTATACACTCAAGGGTGAGCATACTGTGTTATACACTCAAGGGTGAGCATACTGTGTTATACACTCAAGGGTGGGCATACTGTGTTATACACTCAAGGGTGAGCATACTGTGTTATACACTCAAGGGTCAGCATACTGTGTTATACACTCAAGGGTGAGCATACTGTGTTATACACTGCAGGGTGGGCATACTGTGTTATACACTGCAGGGTGAGCATACTGTGTTATACACTCGAGGGTGAGCATACTGTGTTATACACTCAAGGGTGAGCATACTGTGTTATACACTCGAGGGTGAGCATACTGTGTTATACACTCATTGTGAGCATACTGTGTTAAACACTCGAGGATGAGCATACTGTGTTATACACTGCAGGGTGAGCATACTGTGTTATACACTGCAGGGTGAGCATACTGTGTTATACACTGCAGGGTGAGCATACTGTGTTATACACTGCAGGGTGAGCATACTGTGTTATACACTCGAGGGTGAGCATACTGTGTTATACACTGCAGGGTGAGCATACTGTGTTATACACTGCAGGGTGAGCATACTGTGTTATACACTGCAGGGTGAGCATACTGTGTTATACACTGCAGGGTGAGCATACTGTGTTATACACTCGAGGGTGAGCATACTGTGTTATACACTGCAGGGTGAGCATACTGTGTTATACACTGCAGGGTGAGCATACTGTGTTATACACTCGAGGGTGAGCATACTGTGTTATACACTCGAGGGTGAGCATACTGTGTTATACACTCGAGGGGTGAGCATACTGTGTTATACATTCGAGGGTGAGCATACTGTGTTATACACTGCAGGGTGGGCATACTGTGTTATACACTGCAGGGTGGGCATACTGTGTTATACACTGCAGGGTGAGCATACTGTGTTATACACTCGAGGGTGAGCATACTGTGTTATACACTCGACGGTGAGCATACTGTGTTATACACTGCAGGGTGAGCATACTGTGTTATACACTGCAGGGTGGGCATACTGTGTTATACACTGCAGGGTGGGCATACTGTGTTATACACTGCAGGGTGAGCATACTGTGTTATACACTCGAGGGTGAGCATACTGTGTTATACACTCGACGGTGAGCATACTGTGTTATACACTCGAGGGTGAGCATACTGTGTTATACACTGCAGGGTGAGCATACTGTGTTATACACTCGAGGGTGAGCATACTGTGTTATACACTCGAGGGTGAGCATACTGTGTTATACACTCGAGGGTGAGCATACTGTGTTATACACTCGAGGGTGAGCATACTGTGTTATACACTCGAGGGTGAGCATACTGTGTTATACACTCGAGGGTGAGCATACTGTGTTATACACTCGAGGGTGAGCATACTGTTTTACAACCAAACATGGCTAAAATTATTGGCTACAAGAAGGCATGATAGTGGACTCAAATTCAGATAACTTATAAATAATTAGGACAGATAATTGTAATTTCAGACACACATAAATCACAATAACGTGATACATTAAATGAAGAAATCCACACGGGCCGTGCTGAGGGTTCGAACCTGCGTCCGAGAGGATCCCAGACGCACCTTAGTAGTGCCATCGACTAAGGTGCGTCTGGGATCATCCCGGACGTAGGTTCGAATCCTCATCACGGCCCTTGTGGATTTGTTCATTGTAATTTCAAATTGTAAAAGAATCAATTGACACGTCAAAAGGGGGAAAGAAAGATAAAAAGATATTTGAAAGATATCTTTATTTGAAAGATAAAATTTCATATTTCCAGGTTAGCGAGTATCACGTGACGCTGAGCTTAGGGGATAAACTAAAACGTTTAGGACTTTAAAGTTGTTTTTTTAAGTCCAGATTGTCCTAAAGTAAACATCGCTGAGTCCAGTCCCAAACACACACACAAAAAAGGTTTCCCTTTTTAAATTCCGTTTTGCATCGAGGCTAAAATTCTGCTGAACCAAAAGGTTTTATCTTAATTACAGGATGAATAAAAGCGAATACAAACGGACCACTAACATTCCGGGTCGGATAGGAGCGAATACTACCAGAGCGAGCGGCTACATCCGGCCACCGTAACGCGGACTAACCGGCTTTGTCAGGGTTATGATAACATACTACACTGGGGGGGACCCGCTGTCATCAGGGTCGTAGTTCATACTGGCTCACTCCTGGACGGACCTGGGGAGCTGCCGTCTACCCCGGGGCGGGGGGGGGGGACTTATATATACCTCGGGGGTATATATAAGTACTTATATATGGGGAGGAAGTATACGGTGCTGCTAGGGGGGGTGGGGTACAAGGGAGAGGAAGGGGGCGCGGAACAATTAACTCTCTACCAAACCTTCGCAGAGATGAATACATTAATTGCAAGTCCTTATTCTACCCTCTTGCTTCTACGCCCCTCCCCCCAGTCTCAATTTCAATCCCCTCCACCCAACCCTCTCCACCCACCCCCCTCCACCTTCCCCCCCCCCTCCCCCCCCCTTCCACCCCCCCCCTTCACCCCCCCCTTCACCCCCCCCCCCCTTCACCCCCCCCCCCACCCCCCCCCCCTTCACCCCCCCCTTCACCCCCCCCTTCTTCACCCCCCCTTCACCCCCCTTCACCCCCCTTCACCCCCCTTCACCCCCCCTTCACCCCCCCTTCACCCCCCCTTCACCCCCCCTTCACCCCCCCTTCACCCCCCCCTTCACCCCCCCCTAACCCCCCCCCCTAACCCCCCCCCCCCCTTCACCCCCCCCTTCACCCCCCTTCACCCCCCCTTCACCCCCCCCTCCAACTCCCCCTCCCCTCCAACTCCCCTCCCCTCCAACTCCCCCTCCCCTCCAACTCCCCCTCCCCTCCACTCCCCCCCCCCCCCCCCCTGCTACTCACTTTACTCCCTACCACTCTTCACCTCACCACAGCTCGTCAAAGACTCGTCCGCGCCACATCTCTCATCCCCGTAACGTCCTCGGAGGAGACAACTGGCCGCAGAGTGAAGTACACATCACGTGACCACACACATTATGGCTCATTGTGGTTGTGTTATATCTAACGATAGTTGGTTAGTGTCGATAGTTGTTAAGTTGTTAGTGTGGTTTAGTAGACTCTGTTAGGTGTTGGCGAGTGTTTGGTGGAGGGTTGATGGGTTTTGGTAAGTGTTAAGAGGTGATTGTGTGTGTTGTGAAGTATTCCTGGATATTGGTGAATGTTGATGAATGTTCTGTTGTGTTGATTGGTGTTTTGGGGGTGATGTAGGGAGTATCTTACACGTCGTCACCATGTCTCTCCATGAGTTCTCTCCAGTGTTTGTAAAGTTAACTTTTAAGCCTGTCCTGTCAGCCTATATATATGTCTTATTTTTGGTATCAGAGCGTACCATTCCTCAGACGTCTCTCAGTGTGTGTCTGTGTATATATATCATTAGATGCGGGTACCAGGCCGGTGCGACATACTTCACAACTAGTCTAACGTACTCCGCGAACGTTATAGACTTTAAAGGACAGTTACTTCTGCTAAATTTTTGTGACGGCTCTTGACGTTATTCGTTTTAATGTACAATTTCTGTACTTACCTATTTGTACTCACCTATTTGTGCTTGCGGGGGTTGAGCTCTGACTCTTTGGTCCCGCCTCTCAACCGTCAATCAACAGGTGTACAGGTTCCTGAGCCTATTGGGCTCTATCATATCTACACTTGAAACTGTGTATGGAGTCAACCTCCACCACATCACTGCCTAATGCATTCCATTTGTCAACTACTCTGACACTGAAAAAATTCTTTCTAATATCTCTCCTGTGTGAGAATGGCAGTGATGGTAACTCCCAGCTCCAGTTGCCTCTCATTCCATGTTGAGCTTCGGAGTTTTTTGTCTCTCTAATTATCCTAACTTTGCATTAATTTTTATCGTATTTATTTATTTATATATACTAGAGTTCTATCTAGAATATCTAGAATATCTAGAACTCTTACGTTCTTGTACTAGCACGCATAGCGTTCCGGGCAGGTCCTTAATACTAATTTTCCCTGGAATTCGATCCGTCAAATCGTTTAACCACCAGGTACCCATTCACTGCTGGATGAACAGAGGCTACAGTTAAGGATTGTCGCCTAGTCAATCCTTCCCAGCCGGGATACGAACGCAGGTCAAATCGCTGGCAAAGCGCTGGGCGAGTGTCTCACCACTGCACCACGGGGACGGCTACTGTTATTGTTCATTTATTGTGGGTGAACATTGTAGCCAATCATCTGGTTCAGGCTGTTCAGTCTATTTCCAGGATTCTGACACCAATCTCAATTTACTTGCAACATATAAGGATCCTTGTTCAGCAAAATTCAGATCTTCACATAATCTGTTGAGATCACCATGCAGTGTGTTGAGATCACCATGCAGTCTGTTGAGATCACCATGCAGTCTGTTGAGATCACCATGCAGTCTGCTGAGATCACCATGCAGTCTGTTGAGATCACCATGCAGTGTGTTGAGATCACCATGCAGTGTGTTGATATCACCATGCAGTGTGTTGAGATCACCATGCAGTGTGTTGAGATCACCATGCAGTGTGTTGAGATCACCATGCAGTGTGTTGAGATCACCATGCAGTGTGTTGAGATCACCATGCAGTGTGTTGAGATCACCATGCAGTGTGTTAAGATCACCATGCAGTGTGTTAAGATCACCATGCAGTGTGTTGAGATCACCATGCAGTGTGTTGAGATCACCATGCAGTGTGTTGAGATCACCATGCAGTGTGTTAAGATCACCATGCAGTGTGTTAAGATCACCATGCAGTGTGTTGAGATCACCATGCAGTGTGTTGAGATCACCATGCAGTGTGTTAAGATCATCATGCAGTGTGTTAAGATCACCATGCAGTGTGTTGAGATCACCATGCAGTGTGTTGAGATCACCATGCAGTGTGTTGAGATCACCATGCAGTGTGTTAAGATCACCATGCAGTGTGTTGAGATCACCATGCAGTGTGTTGAGATCACCATGCAGTGTGTTGAGATCACCATGCAGTGTGTTGAGATCACCATGCAGTGTGTTGAGATCACCATGCAGTGTGTTAAGATCACCATGCAGTGTGTTGAGATCACCATGCAGTGTGTTGAGATCATCATGCAGTCTGCTGAGATCACCATGCAGTGTGTTAAGATCACCATGCAGTGTGTTAAGATCACCATGCAGTGTGTTGAGATCACCATGCAGTGTGCTGAGATCACCATGCAGTGTGTTGAGATCACCATGCAGTGTGTTAAGATCACCATGCAGTCTGCTGAGATCACCATGCAGTGTGTTAAGATCACCATGCAGTGTGTTGAGATCACCATGCAGTGTGTTAAGATCACCATGCAGTGTGTTGATCACCATGCAGTCTGCTGAGATCACCATGCAGTCTGTTGAGATCACCATGCAGTGTGTTGAGATCACCATGCAGTGTGTTAAGATCACCATGCAGTCTGTTGAGATCACCATGCAGTCTGCTGAGATCACCATGCAGTCTGCTGAGATCACCATGCAGTCTGTTGAGATCACCATGCAGTGTGTTGAGATCACCATGCAGTCTGCTGAGATCACCATGCAGTGTGTTGAGATCATCATGCAGTGTGTTGAGATCACCATGCAGTGTGTTAAGATCACCATGCAGTGTGTTAAGATCACCATGCAGTCTGTTGAGATCACCATGCAGTGTGTTGAGATCACCATGCAGTGTGTTAAGATCATCATGCAGTGTGTTGAGATCACCATGCAGTGTGTTGAGATCACCATGCAGTGTGTTGAGATCACCATGCAGTGTGTTGAGATCACCATGCAGTGTGTTGAGATCACCATGCAGTGTGTTAAGATCACCATGCAGTGTGTTAAGATCACCATGCAGTCTGTTGAGATCACCATGCAGTGTGTTGAGATCACCATGCAGTGTGTTGAGATCACCATGCAGTGTGTTAAGATCACCATGCAGTGATCACCATGTGTGTTAAGATCACCATGCAGTGTGTGATCACCATGCAGTGTGTTAAGATCACCATGCAGTGTGTTGAGATCACCATGCAGTGTGTTGAGATCACCATGCAGTGTGTTGAGATCACCATGCAGTGTGTTGAGATCACCATGCAGTGTGTTGAGATCACCATGCAGTGTGTTGAGATCACCATGCAGTGTGTTGAGATCACCATGCAGTGTGTTGAGATCATCATGCAGTGTGTTGAGATCACCATGCAGTGTGTTGAGATCATCATGCAGTCTGTTAAGATCACCATGCAGTGTGTTGAGATCACCATGCAGTCTGCTGAGATCACCATGCAGTGTGTTGAGATCACCATGCAGTGTGTTGAGATCACCATGCAGTCTGCTGAGATCACCATGCAGTGTGTTGAGATCACCATGCAGTGTGTTGAGATCACCATGCAGTGTGTTGAGATCACCATGCAGTGTGTTAAGATCATCATGCAGTGTGTTGAGATCACCATGCAGTGTGTTGAGATCACCATGCAGTCTGTTGAGATCACCATGCAGTGTGTTAAGATCACCATGCAGTGTGTTAAGATCACCATGCAGTGTGTTGAGATCACCATGCAGTATGTTGAGATCACCATGCAGTGTGTTGAGATCACCATGCAGTCTGCTGAGATCACCATGCAGTGTGTTGAGATCACCATGCAGTGTGTTGAGATCACCATGCAGTGTGTTAAGATCACCATGCAGTGTGTTAAGATCACCATGCAGTCTGTTGAGATCACCATGCAGTCTGTTGAGATCACCATGCAGTGTGTTGAGATCACCATGCAGTGTGTTAAGATCACCATGCAGTGTGTTAAGATCACCATGCAGTGTGTTAAGATCACCATGCAGTCTGTTGAGATCACCATGCAGTGTGTTGAGATCACCATGCAGTGTGTTAAGATCACCATGCAGTGTGTTAAGATCACCATGCAGTGTGTTGAGATCACCATGCAGTGTGTTGAGATCACCATGCAGTGTGTTGAGATCACCATGCAGTGTGTTGAGATCACCATGCAGTGTGTTAAGATCACCATGCAGCAGTGCAGTGTGTTAAGATCACCATGCAGTGTGTTAAGATCACCATGCAGTGTGTTAAGATCACCATGCAGTGTGTTGAGATCACCATGCAGTGTGTTGAGATCACCATGCAGTGTGTTGAGATCACCATGCAGTGTGTTAAGATCACCATGCAGTGTGTTAAGATCATCATGCAGTCTGTTGAGATCACCATGCAGTCTGTTGAGATCACCATGCAGTGTGTTGAGATCACCATGCAGTCTGCTGAGATCACCATGCAGTCTGCTGAGATCACCATGCAGTCTGTTGAGATCACCATGCAGTGTGTTGAGATCATCATGCAGTCTGTTGAGATCACCATGCAGTCTGTTGAGATCACCATGCAGTCTGTTGAGATCACCATGCAGTCTGTTGAGATCATGCATGCAGTGTGTTGAGATCATCATGCAGTCTGCTGAGATCACCATGCAGTCTGTTGAGATCACCATGCAGTCTGTTGAGATCACCATGCAGTCTGTTGAGATCACCATGCAGTCTGTTGAGATCACCATGCAGTGTGTTGAGATCACCATGCAGTGTGTTGAGATCACCATGCAGCATTATAAAGGGCACCGCAGTATTTAACATCATCATCACCATTACCTTGTCTGCTGACAGTGGCAAAAGTAAATCCTCTCTCGTGAAGATCATTTAAGAAGACCAGAAGACCCCGAAGTTGTCCTTGCGGGACTCCGCTCCTCACCTCCCTCTACTGTGGCTCTTCATCCCTCAACATTACTCTTTATATTTTTCCCCCATATAGTTGATTTGCTCCCAGCCTAGTACCATTGGTGTTATGCGAGGACGTTTACAGTGATTGATGAGAGCTGTTGGTGAGCGTTGATGGGTCGTTGCTGGTGATGATTTTTGCTGTTCGTGGACGTTGATGGATGACGGTATACATACGTGGGGTGAAGTTGGATGTCAGTTGGTGACAGTGTGTATAATTGTTATAAGAGGGTTGGATGTTGGTTTATTGTGGTCGGGTGCTGAAATGCAGCCCTATCATCCTATAATGAAAGTACTTGTAGTAACTATTTGGTCGAAAGTACCAATATATAGTGATGGACCGCCAGAAAGTTGACTTTTGTAGTATTGAATTTGGCCAAATGAGAACCTCTTTTTAACGGCAACATAAATATGGAACCTAACTTTTTTCTAGCAGTCTAATACACGCAAATACTTGCTAATATACGCTGATACACGCCTAATACATGCCTAATACACGCTAATACATGCCTAATACACGCTACTACATCTTTACATGCCTAATCAGAACATATATGGGCTATATCAGGCCTAGAAATATTTAAGGTTGGGATTTAGCTTTATTTATCCAGACTCTGTGAAATGAATAGTACAAAAAATAGTTGACTGGCGGTCCATCACAACATATTGGTACTTTCCACCGAATGCTTAGTATAAGTACTATCGTTCCAGGAAGATGGGCTGTGAAAGGCTTTAGGGGGATTTTGGGCACCCTCCGTGATTCAAGAGCCCATAGCTCGATTATGCAGGCATAAATATTAAGTAAATACACACACACACACACACACACACACACACACTGTGTGTGTGTGTGTCAGTCAGAGAGACACTCTCTCTGACAAGAGTCAGAGAGAAAGAAAGACCTGGGGGTTGATATCACGCCAGACCTGTCCCCTGAAGCTCATATCAAGAGGATAACATCAGCAGCATATGCCAGGCTGGCCAACATAAGAACGGCCTTTAGAAACTTGTGTAAGGAATCTTTCAGAACATTATATACCACACATGTCAGACCAATCCTGGAGTATGCGGATCCAGCATGGAGTCCATATCTAGTCAAGCATAAGACTAAACTGGAAAAGGTTCAAAGGTTTGCCACCAGACTAGTACCTGAGCAGAGAGGTATGAGCTACGAGGAGAGACTACGGGAATTAAACCTCACTTCGTTGGAAGACAGAAGAGTTAGAGGGGACATGATCACCATATTCAAGATTCTCAAGGGAACCGACAGGGTTGATAAAGACAGGCTGTTTAACACAAGGGGCACACGCACTAGGGGGGACAGGTGGAAACTGAGCGCCCAAATGAGCCACAGAGATATTAGAAAGAACTTTTTTAGTGTCAGAGTGGTTGACAAATGGAATGCATTAGGAAGTAATGTGGTGGAGGCTGACTCCATACACAGTTTCAAGTGTAGATATAATAGAGCTCAATAGGCTCAGGAACCTGTACACCTGTTGATTGACGGTTGAGAGGAGGGACCAAAGAGCCAGAACTCAATCCCCGCAAACACAACTAGGTGAGTACACACACAGACAGACACACACACACACACACACACACACACACACACACACACACACACACACACACACACACACACACACACTACATTTTATTTAAGCCACAAGTATTTTCAAACATATTTGCCAAACCACAAGAAAATGCCTATATAAGTGCTTTTCAACCCGAAGGACCGGAAGGGCTTAATCGCGAAATCAGATAACACTCAGCTGCTAATTAACAGCACGTGATTCAACTCTGAGAGCAATATTTGCCAACAATGAGGTAATTTGCATTTAATTACCGCAACGTCCCGGGTCTTGTATAGAGAAGATGACTTTGAAATGTGCTGCGTTTTGTGTGTTACTGAATACGTGCACGTGGGAGAGGGTGGGAGAGTAGTGTGGAAGAGCGTGGGAGGGTAACACAGTTCTGGGGGAGGGTGGAATAGGAGGGAGAGAGAGAGAGAGAGATCTTCCGTGTGTGAGAGGTGATGTTGTGAGGGTTCATGGTGTATGTATGGGAGTGGGTTTATGATTAGTGAGAGAAAGGAGGAGGACTCTGCGATGGGAGGAAGGAAGAGGGAGGGTGGGATGCTGGGTGTGAAGATCGGTGGTAGGAGGAGGTAAGGCAAAATGAGAGTGAGGGATATATTTATACATGTTGTACCTAATTGCCAGAATGCACTACTTGGCCTACTATGCAACGCCTGGGTTGCCTAATAGACAGTTATATTTGTTATTTTCATAAAATTGCTTCCAATTGGTTTATTTGAATTAATATTATTATATTAAGAAGATAAAGTACTCGCTTAGTTATGCTAGTTTAGGTTAAAATAGGTTAAATTAAGTCATATTTCTACGTTAATTTTAAATCAAATTAAACAAAAATTAAATATTATATAATGTAATGGAAAGCTCTATCATTTCATAAGAAAAATTTAGAAAATATTTAACTTCAGGGAAAACACGGGGCTATTTGCCCATCTTCCCGAAAACTATGCCCAAGATTACCATCAAAGTGCCGTCGGGATGATGGGCAAATAGCCTCGG